GAATATTTGATGTCCTTATAAAGAGGAAACCTCTAATTATATTTGATTATTGAGATTTACCAGATAAAAAGAAACAAAACTTTACTAACTCACAGGGAAAATCTTAAAATTTTTAAGCATTTTTCCTCAAAATCTTTTTTTTTTTGTTGCTACTGCTCAAAACAGTGCTTCAAAATGTTGTTTTATGATTATATTTCAGACAGCTCATTCAAATGATACATTAAGGCTTTTATTCATTATATTTTGACAAAATGCAATTTTTGTTAACATTTTAGTCAAAACACTATATTTTCCTATTTTTCAATATACCACTTTTGGACTAAATCCTCGTTTCGATGTGACGGGTCTAGGGTTGGGCAATATTGGCAAAAAAATTTAACACGATTAATTGCGGTAGTTAGCCGATAATGATAAATTTGACGATTAATCCCTTGGAGTCCCTGGACATCCTTGTCGTAGTCACATGACTAATTTAGTGGCTTAGATTTCCTCTTCATAAAAATCTGTTCCATATTGTGTCAAAATTACAGACTTCAGGTTATACATCAGTTTTTTAATTGTGTTGATAGATAAATAAATTACAGATTTTTTTGATGTTCGTCATATTTGAAGCAGAGAGGAGCACTGACCGGACTCTGCCTGCTGGCATTAATCCTGTTAATCGTCAAGTGCCAAAAAATAATCAATGTTTTTTTGACGATTAATTGCACACGATACATTATGCCCAACCCTAGACGGGTCACATATTTTCTCATAAATGCAGAATTCTTGTCTTTGTAATGTTCGATTTTAGCTCCAGTTTTTCTACCTTCTTTAGATGCTGTCCTCGTTTGAACTTTAACAGTTTGTTTAAAGTCTTCAGGAGTGACTCGACTTTAAGTCGCTCTGTTTTCACAGTTTCTGTAGTTTTTAGGAAAATGTGTTGGTCTCAGAACTGTCAGCTCTTCCTTCAGATTGTCCTTGACCAGCGTGTGTCCAGGTGTCATGGAGCAGCTGGACGTGGACATCGTGCCCTACATCGTGCTGCTGGTGGTCCCRGTGTTGGGCCGGATGAGCGACCCCGGCGACAGCATTCGCTTCATGGCCACTCAGTGTTTCGCCACGCTGATCCGCCTGCTGCCCCTGGAGGTACGCACACCCAGACAGATGTGAAGTCTGCGGCCAGGTGTCAGGGCCAGGTCTCTGGATCRATTCGATTTCTATTCATAAGGTTCTAAATCAATTCATCACAATTCGACTGGATCTGCTCTTACATAATGAAAATGGTTCAACAGTAGCTGCGTTTCCACTGCAAATGTTCGCAAAACTTTGTTGATATTCTGTTAATGTCGAAACACAGTTTCACAACTG